CACCAAAAATGTATCAGCTTTTCGAGGGAGATAGAGGCGTAGAATAAGAGAAGGAGAGATATTCTCATGCCGTGTGTGTGTGTGTGTATGAGTGCTGCGTATTTGCTTTTAATTTGGTACATTTAAAATGCAATTCTTTTAAACCGCATGGCCAATCAAAAAGATCAAAAACTGTAGCAACCGAAAAAAAAACAAGAGTACTAATCATTTGGTATGGGAAAAATTCTAGACAAATACAATTGAACTACGTCATCGATGTATGCGTGTTACATCAAACAAATGAAGAACCCACTGAATAACACACATAATACCAATATAATCATCATTCTGTTTTAGTTTTCATTCGGCTAGAAATACGTTTGTTTGTTCGAGTGTTTGTTGGTCTCTCTGTGTGTATGTATGCGTGTGTGTGTGTTTTTTTTAGTTTAAATGTAAGTGCAAGATGCATGCATGCTTCTTACCGACGAGTCAATGACCTCTAATATTAACAGAAATATTTCATCTGAAATATTGTGTGTATGTTCTCTTCATTGTGTCAATGAATATGCGTTTTTCGGGGAGAGACGGTTGTTAGATTTTTAGAATTGGATTTCAGGTTTTCTTTTACTCGATCTAATCTCTTCTTAAATTCTATATAGAATTAACAATTTTAAAACAGTTGTTATATGGAAAACAGAAATGTAATTCGTTTTTAATGATTTTACGTTTTAGACATTTTGTTTGACTTCATTCCAATTTTGCATTCATGAATATTTGGTTGTTGTTTTTTAAATTCAAACGATAGATGTTCTGTTTCATAAAAATATATATATATTATATCACCTAACCGGGTGAGCGATAAAAGGCTGGATAACATCTACTTTTAATATTATGTCATTATCTTTGATGGTAAGCACAAATTGGTTGTTGATCGTATCAAAGTTTTTCGAAATGTTTCAGACCAGACAGAATTTGTTTATCCAACTTGAAAAAAAAAACAATATATATAATACTGCATGCTCGTCAATTTGGATGTTTATGTGAAATTTGAATAGATGCAATAAAGCAATTAATGCAGAATAAAAATATAACATCAAGCAATTCAAACGAAGAAAAAACCGATATTCAATATAAACATGTTGGAGAAATATGATTAATTGTATATTGAATGTAAATGATTCTGGTGGTAAAGATGAAAAAGGATAGCATTTCAAAATTCAATCTTGCTCATACAACAAAAAAATATTTTCGCTGCAGTTTTTTAAAGCCACAATTTTCGGTCTCACCATTGACGTTATTATCGTTCTTTTATGGCCAATTTTATACTTTATACACATCGAACATTTTGTACATGTGAAAAAGAAGAAGAAGAAGAAGAAATATTAAAAATAGAATAAAATTCGTTGAAAATAAAAATGGTTTATAATAAACATAAAATGTAAATGATAGAAAACTAATGTGTTGGAACTGTAAGACAAATGAATCAACTAAAATGAAATGCGAATTTTTCGCTGATGGTATATATTTTGTTTCTCTCATGCATCATTAAAATGTTAGCCTAGCAAAATTATAAGAACGAAATGCAACAACTATTTATTCATTCACTTATATCGATCGCAAACGAAAACAAATGCAATGAATGCACAACTACACCATAAGCGCTCGTTTCGTATAACGTTTGTTTTCATATCATTTCGTCACATTCGTTTATATATACACAATTTCAAGGTCTAACAAATAAAATACAAAGTTAATTTTTATACATAGCCAATGTGTACTTTTATCTGTTCACCGTATATATTGTGCGGTGGATTAAGCAGGCACAGGCAGTAGCTGAATGTTTTGCATGTAAATTGCGTATAAATCTCGACTATCGCGCGCTGAACAAACACCAACGAATCGTTTCACACATTTTCATATTATATGTATTATAGTCTGTTTCACGATGATTATATAAAATTAAAAAAAAATACATATGTTCTGGTCGTTGTTCGCGTGCGATATGGTCTGAGTTTCAAATGTGTATGCATTTTGGAATTTGAATTCAAGTGCTTCGGACGGATTTTACAACTTTAGCATTTAACATATTTACATTTGAAAAATGCGTAATTCGATTAAATTGAATTGTCAAGAGATGAAACGAAATAATCATAGAAAAAATCATCATCATTAAATTCATAATATCACAAAAATCAAGAAGTAGAGACAACCATACAGATCATTCACAGTTGATAATCAACAAAACTCAAATTAATGATTGAACAAAAATATACATATAAAATGAACCTTTGCGTGACGAATGAATAAAAACATATACAATCGTACGCTGTCACGTAAAATTTGAATTTTATATGCTTCAAAACAATATCCTGTGTGTATGTGTTGAATTGTATACATTTCATTCAGAAGACAAGTGGCGTATCCGAAATCAAAGCAATTCAAAGATACACAATTTTGAATTAACGGTGACACAATGATAATGCCGAAGAAACAAACATTTAACGTGCACACGATATTTGTTTTTCTTTTCATTTTGCACTGAATAATTGGTTCTGATTGAGCTAAATGATTTGCACTAAGATTTTTCATATGTTTGAAATTAAACAAAAAACCCTCTCTGTAATCAAGTCATTCGAATCTGTAGTGCTTTTTTCACTCTTACATCAATGATAATAAAAAA